ATTCTGATTCTGATTCTATTCTATTCTATTCTCTGGAACAATAAAAGAAGCTTCCCAGAAGTAATTCCACAGGTCTTTTCTTGGTTCTTGGGGTGGCTGACATGTTCCCTCTAAATCACCCCAGAGTCTCCTGTAAACTGCATTGCTATTCCAAGTTTCTCTTGCTTGCCTATTGCTTTTCCTTCCAGACTGGCTCAATCTCACTCCTGCATTGAGTTGTTTCCGCTCTAAACTTTCAAGACAATTTGTGACTTAAAGGAATTTTGCCAAGCGCAAATTGGGAGAGTGCTCTGCAGGAAGCAGATAGGGAGTGGAAATGCCCGTGGCTCTGGAACATTGCCTCTCTGGCCCATTAGAGAAAAGGCTGCAGTTATTTCAGTAATAGCCATCAAGAGTCCCCAACGGAAGGAGCATTTATCCCCCCCCCCCAGAGCAGAGGTGGGGAACTATGTCCCTTCTGGACTTCAACTCCCAAATTTCTTTTGCTCGGGAATTCTGGGAGTTGAAGTCCACAAGTCATAAAGGGCCCATAGTTCTGCCCACCTCTGCTCTAGACAGTGATCAGATTAGTGATCTGTTAATAAGAGCAATAGTCCATTGCATTTCAAGGGAATATCCTGGAGCTGTTTGCAAGGAATATAAATCCTTCCATTCCCCACCATCCAGTCAGAGCTGAAGAAGCTTCTTTGGATGAGAAGCAAAACATCTTCAAAGAAAAACTAGAAAGTAGCACCTTTGGGACAACTATGACCTGGAGGACTGAGAATCTCCATAGGCATATATTGGAGAATGCTATCACAATAAATGAAGCCCAGTTGAAAGTTTTTGTTGTTGTTGACCTTTTAAGACAGGGGTCTCCAAACTTGGCCACTTTAAGACTTGTGGATGTTGAAGTCCACAAGTCTTAAAGCTGCCAATTTTGGAGACCTCTGTTTTTACGATCTTAGAATATTTTTCCTTCCAAAGTCCAGGTTTTGCATTTAGGTTACTTAACTGTGATTCTAGGTAATTATGTGAGTTGTGATACAGCCATTTAAGTATATGTCAGCAGGGTGCCAAAAAAGCCAATGCAGTCCTGGACTGCATCAACAGGGATAGATTCAAGATGTCAGGAAGTGATAGTACATTCTGTGCTGCACAGGTGAGACCACGATTACAGATTACAGATTAAGTTGGAAGGGACCTTGTAGGTCATCTAGTCCAACCCTCCCCCAAGCAGGAGACCCTACACCATTTCTGACAGATGGCAGTCCAGTGTCTTCTTGAAAGCTCCCACAACTTCTGAAAGCAACTTCTGTTCCATGGGTTGATTATTGATTGTTCTCACTGTCAGAAAATGTCTCCTTATTTCCAGGTTGAATCTCAGTTTCCATCCATTATTCCTTATCTGGCCTTCAGGTGCTTTGGAAAATAACTTGAACCTCCCCACTCTCTGTGGCAGCCCCTCAAATATAGGAAGATTTCTCTCCTGTCTCCCCTGGTCCTTCTCTTCCCCAGACTAGCCATGCCCAGTTCCTGCGACCGTTCTTTATATGTTTTAGTCCCCAATCCCCTGATCATCCTGGTTGCTCTTCTCTGCACTCTTTCTAGAGTCTCAGCATCTTTTTTATAGTGGCACAAAGCCTAAGGCTGGTGACCTTGGGGCAATTCCTGTCTCTCAACTCCAGGAAAGAGCCAATGGCAAGCCAGTTGTGAAATCTTGCTAAAAAAAAAAACACCTGCAGGGACTTGTCCAGGCAATTGCGAAGAGTCCACAATGACTCAAAGTGATAAGGAACAGATATACAGAGGAGTACTCTGCAAGATCTTTTACACCATAAGACTGTGTGTGCTTCTAGGGGTTGAAGTGAAGTGATCCCCATCCTTCTACACATCTTTCTTTTGGGCCCTAATGTTCCTCAAATATCCATGGATCCAAGATCGGTCTATTGCATCAGTCCATTGCAAAGCCAAAGAATTGGCTTGCATTTCTTCCTCTCATTTCCTCTTTCAGTTTGTCTTCCTACATACCAGACAGCTCAGCAACCATATTTGGAGTTAGTCTGCCTGTCTGCTGCTCTCACATCTGTTTGGTTGGAGGGCTAGACTGTTTTTGCTTGCCCATATATGGAAAAGTTGCTTGAGAAAAGTCCTGCATCTGGCTCAAACTAGAAGAAATGTCACCTCTTCAATTCTGATTTTCTCATTAGCTTCTAGCCAGCCACTCTTTATTCTGGCTTCCTGGGCATAAGGCTGATCAGGAGGGATCAGGTGTGTATCTTGAAATCCACAGTTTCCTTATTAACAACCAGATTCCTTATAATCACTCATGTCTCTGAAGCAAGGGAAGGAAAGGTTGGAGACCACAATTGAACATTTTTACTCCAAGAAGGAAATTGTTGATGCAAAAGCAACAATTCAGTCTTCCTGTCCAGAAATTGAGTGAGTCACGTTAAGCAGAGGTGGTATTCAGCAGGTTCTGACCAGTTCTGGAGAACCGGTAGAAGAAACTTTGAGTAGTTTGGAGAACCAGCAAATACCATCTCTGACTGGCCCCACCAACCCCATCTATTCTCAGTCTCCTGAGTCCCAGCTGATTGGCTGGGTCTTCTTTGGTTGCCCTGCACAGGAGAACGGAGCTGGAAAGCAGGTTAGTGGGGTGAGGAGGGAATGGGGATTTTGCAGTAACCTTCCCCTGCCATGCCCACCAAGCCACGCCCACAGAACCGGTTGTAAAAGAATTTGAGTCTTACCACTGATGTTAAGGTAACTGTAATAAATAGTTCCATTCAGATCAACCAGTGTGTGCAGGCTTAAATACTCTATTGGCAAACCCAAGCAAATATGTGTGATTCTCTCATTCTGAGATAAACCGTGTGATAGAATGGGTGTTGAGGTAATTCCCCGTTAGGAGAATGAGTGCATACAGGGAGACGTATTTGAGAGAAGTGTTTGAATAATACACACACAGTACACAGATACACTGTACAGTAAATGTAGGTTTTTACTTCCAGAAAGGTTTGAGCAAAGTCCAAAATAAGCAGTCCAAAAATCATTCACAGGTAAAATCAGTCAGTTTTCATCCAGGGATAATCCAAATATCAAATTCCAGTATCAAAAACAGTTCAGTATCAGACTTACATTAAAACCAGTAATATCAGTCAATTAGGAAAAATGGAGCAACGGCAATACTTTCCAACAGAAGGAAACAGAGATACTCACTCAGACACACTCTCTTCTGAGACTAAGACTAAAACAACCCAGGTTTCTGGCTCCATCTTATGGCCGTTTGAGAAACCACACCCAATTGCATGCTCTTGCATTCCCTTAAAGATATAGTACTAAAATGTTTATCCTGGTTTATATATTTCTAACCCAAATACCTGTTAGGTGACTTATATTCCTAACAATGGGCAAGGTATTGGATCAGGATTGGAGATTTTTACTTTCTGTTCAACCTGAGATTAAAGCTCACAACTTGTTGTGGTTGTGGGAAAAATGGAAACACAATGGCTGTGTACACTGCCTTGTGATTGTGTAGGAAATTGTGGAAGACACATGTATGTCCAGGTTTCCTCTCTTGTTCTCTCTCTATATATAGGTTGAGTTCCTTTCAACTCTTAGCAAAATAAGTTTTAAATACAGGTTTAAGGAATTTAAGGATTTTTTTTCTTTTGAAATAAACAGCAAATGGATTATTAGTTTGATTTTGGAAAGTTACAAACAGATAAAGGATCCAGATGGATTTTAAATAAGATTTTGGAATTAATATAAGACTCCTTCCCATGGGAAAATGTTTTTGTTTTGAATTCTCTTTAAAAAAAAATAGGATGAGATTTTAAAGGTTAGACACTAAAGGAAGCCAGAAGGTACTTCCTTTTTTATTCCTGTCAGAACCACCTTCAATTTATAGACATACAACATTCAAAACTGAGCAAGTAAAATAGGTATAAAATAGGTCATAAAAATATAACTTGTTTTAAAAATATATGGGATAAATAGGGTTAAAACTAAATGACATACACCCACTATTGGGCCATATTGACAGCACGCCGACAAGAGCTTTGGTGGCGCAGTGGTTAGAGTGCAGCACTGCAGGTTACTTCTGCTGACCGCCGGCTGCCTGCAATTTGGCAGTTTGAATCTCACCAGGCTCAAGGTTGACTCAACCTTCCATCCTTCCAAAGTGGGTAAAATGAGGACCCAGATTGTTGGGAGCAAGAGGCTGATTCTGTACACTGCTTAGAGAGGGCTGTAAAGCACTGTAAAGCGGTTTATTAGTCTAAAGGCTAATGCTGATTTTCTCTCACCAGCATGAGTTCTGCCTCTGTACATGTTGAAGGACTGTTGTAGTTTTCCGGCAGCCTGCGGAAATGGCAGCAGAGTCGGACAGTGGAGAGGAACATGGGCCAGTCTGGGAGTTTGGGGAGGACTAGATGAGGGTCCTGCATCTGATACAGAGATGGGGCCGGGGACACCTGGGAGTTATGTGCTGATTTGCGAGCCTCCAGAATCTGACAGCAGCAAGGCAGAGGAACAAGGGGAGCCTGTTCCCAGTGCATGTGCACGCAGAGCTGCCAGAAGGCAAGAACAGTTAAGACAAAAGGGGTGACTTGGGAGTAAGGCTTGGAGGTGATTGGCCCCTCCCATAAGACATAAAGGAGGAGCAAAGGGACAGGAATCTTTGCAGGAAGCAACTTTGTTCATACTGGTCTGTTTGAAACCTGAAGTTCGATGTTGAATTTGTATTCTGTTTTGGCCTCGTATAACTAATTGGACATTTAGTCTTTGGCAGCATTTCAAGGAAGATAAAGGAGTGTGCTGATCAGACTTATCCTGAAGGACTTTGGCAGACTTCCATGGGACTATTTACAAACTGTTTGAGACTCCTTACGGGCTGTGAATGAATAAAATTCACAGCCGTTGAAATAAATAAGCATACATGAGATAGATTGTTCTTCTCCCCATTTACACAGAGAAGGAACTAAAAAGTCATTGATTCATATATATGTTTGTCCTAGATTAAAAAGCAGCAGCAAGATGTGATCGGCTTCTTGGAAGTCAATAAGATTGAGTTTGAAGAGAAAGACATTGCGGCCAATGAAGAGAATCGCAAATGGATGAGAGAGAATGTCCCAGAGGAGAGCCGGCCAGCCACCGGGAATCCATTGCCTCCGCGAATCTTTAATGACAGCCAGTACCTTGGGGTGAGCAACGGCCTCCGTTGGTTTTTTTTTTTTTTTAAATCTGTGTTGAAAAATCTTCCAAGAAGCTTTATTCTATATAAGCTTCAAATCTAGAGTCCCTGCCTCAAATGGACACAACATTTGCAAGTAACTTTTGGAGTGGAGTGAGGTGGAAAGTCCCAACAGAGGAGAAAAGCCAGATCTATTTCATTTGAACTGAAAAGGCTAAACGGACATTTTTCTTCCAGGCTACCCTTAGAAGTCTCTGGGCTATAAGCTAACCCAGTATTTCTCAATTTGAAGATGTGCAGAGTTCAATTCCAGAATTTTCAAGCTATTTTTTAAGAGTAGAAATAGAGTCACAAAGGCTTTGTTCGGAACCAAAGACATTTCTAGATGTCGGCTCTTTCTGGATTAATGGGTTCTAAAGATATTTTCATTTTCACATCTGCAAATGGGTGTCCCAAAGGTGCTTTTTCAAGAGGCAACTGGTTTTTCTTTGAAGACGTTTCACTTCTCATCCAAGAAGCTTCTTCAGCTCAAATGTCCAGCTGCTTGCAAAGAGTATAAATCCGTCTATTCCCCACCATCCAGTTAGAGCTGAAAAAGCTTCTTGGATGAGAAGTGAAATGTCTTCAAAGAAAAATCAGAAAGTTGCCTCTTGAAAAAACACCTTTGGGACAACCATGACCTGGATGACTGAGAATCTCTATAGACATACTTCAAAAAGGTTTTGCTTTCTTTTTCTAAAGATTCCTGTCCTATTCATAGCCCTCTTACATGATGCAACAATTTAAACCAGTTTAAAAGGTGAATATTTGGTAATATATAAGATTCTGCTATCTAGGGAACCGCGGTCCCATATATTTGAAATTGGCTGTATTTCGCAATTCAGAAATACTTCTTGAGGACTAACTGAACCTACTCGGTCTAATATTTTTCCAGGAACAATCAGATTCCTTGCCAAACCAGCTGGAGTATATATTGATTTTTGAAGCCAGCAATATGTAACTGAACCAGCCAAGGGAGTTCAATTCTCCAGGGATGAATGCCCTATCACAATCATCTTGTTTCTTACTAAGGGAATATCCTAAGAATAAAGGATGGGCTTATGAAGTCAACTATAAAAGAGTGGTATGGTGGCCTAGAGGTGGAGCTCTCACCTCACAATCAGGAAGCTGTGAGTTCGATTCTAGGTAGAGGCAGGTATTTCTCTCTCTGGGCACACTGATACCATGTCTGCTGAAGGCAGAACCAAGGTACCTTCTACCATATGTGGTGGTCATGCCCGGAAGCCCAGAAATAATTGGACTAAAATATGGAGTTGGCTACAAGAGATAGTGGAAGAACGAATAGAATTTAAACTGGAATTATTTCTATTGGGAATAGTCAAAGGGAATTATAGAAAGAAGATTAAATATATTTTATTACATATTCTGACAGCTTTAAGAATAATACACGCACAGTGTTGGAAACAAAATAATTTGCCTACTGAGGAATTAATAATTAAAAAAATATTAGACTGTGTCAAAATAGACAAATTGACATTAAAACTTAAAGAGAAAGAAGAGTCAGAGTATTATGAAATTTGGGATAATTGGTATAATTGGCTGAATAATAGAAATAAATATAAAGGTGATAGGAAAATTATAGATGAAAGTAAATGATTATATATAAAGATGTATCAATGTAGATATCTGTATGAGACTGATGTGTAGAATAATTTGTATAATAACGATGACACAATACTGTTAAAATCAAGTTTAATGTGTGTTAAAGTTGAAAAAGAACAATACAAAACATTAAAAAAAGAGAGAAAATGTCTGCTGAACAAAACTCCGCATTGGCGACAGGGAAGGGCATCCGGCCATTAAAACACTCTGCTAGCTCCATTCAGTTGCCCAGACTCCACCCCCCACAAGGGATTATGGGGTCATTAAAAGAAGATGATTATGAAGTCAAATATAATGGACAGAATAGATTTCATGTAAAGAAAAGTATTAAGATGAAATTCTAGGATGTCTTTTGAAAATAATCATTTAGCCAGCTTCTGTTCAGAGCTTAGCTAAGTGTTGGATAGGTTCCTCTGCTTCCTTGAATACCATGGAAAAAAATGGGAAATATATTCATATTTATAAATAAGCACGATGGGTCTTCATGAGTTCCTTTTCCCCAAAGATCAAAGACTTCAAACTGGTTCCTAAAGGCTGCACTGATATACTGATTTTTCTTTTCTTCCCTCTCCCATCCCAAAGGATTATGACGCTTTCTTTGAAGCTAGAGAGAACAACGCAGTCTATGCTTTTTTAGGCTTGACTGCCCCACCTGGTTCAAAGGTAGGTATTGCCACAGTTGCTTGAACACTGTTTCCTGTGCTTTGAAAGTCTAAAGGCAAGGGTTGCATTTTGAGTTTATTTCCTCTTGTGAAATACTAAGGATTGGGTCCACAGGTAACACTTGGGCTAGCATTCAGTCTCCCTGTAGCACAAACCCCAACGAGACCATCACACACGTGCTTTGATGCTGCCTCTATTACCCATGGAGTCAAGAAACATTCATTCTTCTGTATTGACACATGGTAGAAAAGCTTTTTTTCTGGGTTTTCTCCTCTCCAATAAGGAGCTACTTATTATGCGAAACAGTCCTAGATTTTCTCTGGCAGCAGTTAAAATTTGCAAAAAGATACTTAGATATGGTGAATATGGGTAAACTTACCTGAGAATTCACTTTCCTTGTGCATTTTATCTTCATCTGTTTGTTTGTTTTTTACATCCTTGTTCAGGGACTGTCCCTTTAGTCTGGTTTTAGGATGAATGCTAAGAATTTGTAATAGAAATAGTTTAGTGTTCCAGTATATAATATTACATTAAGCATCCTAGCTTTTGATTATCTTTTTGTTCCTTCTTAAAAGCTTAAGTGGTATTACTGAAAAATATGCAATTTTTCTTCCTTGTCTTATCTATTACCAAAATGGATTGCATTGTGAACAGGAAGAATTTATTTGGGATGTTTGGTTTGTCAAAGGCCACACTCTTTATTTGGCCTTGTCCTGCTCCAACAGCTATTGAAACTAATACAGGTAGTCCTCAACTTACAACAGTTCATTTAGTGACCGTTCAAAGTTATGACAACACTGGAAAAATGCGACTTATGACCATTTTTCACAGTTATGTTTGCAGCATCACCATGGCCAAGTGATCAAAGTTCAGATGCTTGGCAACTGGTTCATACTTATGACGGTTGCTATGTCCCAGGGTTATGTGATCGATCCCCTTTTGCAACCTTGCAAGCCAAGTCAATTGGGAAGCCAGATTCCCTTAATAACCAGGTTACTAATTTATCAACTACAATGATTCGCTTAACAACTGTGGCAAGAAAGATGGTGGAAATGAGTCAAAATTCACTTAACCACCGAAATTTTGGGTTCAATTGTGGCCATAAGTCGAGGACTACTTGTACATGTGATCAGATCGTGGACGTGTCTTTTATTTTATTTATTAAAAATAAACCCAGCTAACATTTCTCTCATTGTCTTTCCAGGAGGCAGAAGCACTAGCAAAACAAGGATTGTGAATCCTTCCTCCCTCACTTCCTCCCAGCCTCAAGCCTTAAAACTTCTGCAAAGAGAAAAATCCTGCAGCTTTTCTCCCTAAAACAGCAAAAACCAATGTGCTTAGAGGAAAAAGAAACAAAGGGTTTTTTTTTTTTGTTTTCCCCAAAATTACTGGCTGCTCTCTACAATATTCTGCCATATAGGCTTAACAGGAAGCCACACCAAATAGTATTATCATTATGAATGATGATAATAATAATAATGATAAATACAAAGGTGCCACAGTGAGAGAGAAAGAAATTAAATGAAGCTTCTAGAAACCCTTGATTGAATTTTGACTCTTGCAATGGATATGATTTATTCCCTGGCAATTGCATAAAAGTCCTCAAACCCTCCCCCACCCCACCACCTTTTTTTTTGTGAAATTAACAAAAGCATTTTTGTTATTTTTGCTCTCTGCGACACAGATCTGTAATTATAATTGCAGATGCAGAGAAAATCTAGCTGCAAAAATGTTTATTAATAAACCCCAGTGCCTCTACTGCTTCAAAAACCAAAATGACAAATAGGATGCCCTAAAGTTGACTTTTCTTTTAATGGCTATTTCTAAAGTTGCAATAATTTGATGCGGTTAGGATGTTTGTAGAGTTATTCTTTTGTAGCATAGATTGATGCCACTGATGGAATCAGGGCAGGATTTGCCAGGGTTGTTCAGAACAAAATAACTGTCCTAGGGAAAGGCAAGATTTTTGTGCAGTCGTAGTGAAATGTGCATTTCTAATCCTCTGGATTTATGAAAACAGCAAAATAGTTTTTATTTCTCTAAAATGTGAAGCAAATGTAATATGGGGCCAAAATACTTTTGTTATATTTTTTTTTATTAAGGAACAAGGTCAAGTAATTATGAATTAGAATAAAACTTAGTTTGATATATTGAGCTTGTAAAATGTTTTCTTGTGTAAGATGAGATATGTTAAAATCAAGGGTCCAATATGAAATAAAACTGAATAAAAGTCATTTGCAGGAATGAAGCTTGTAGGTCTCTTATGATGTAGGAAGTTCAACTGATTTTTCAGTCTGGTTTTGCAATGCTGTGTAGTTAATTTCAGCAGTTTGTCAAACTCCTAGTATTTTCACTACGTGCAACAATGATCATAATTACAAGCAAGAACCCCATCCCAAGAAACACATTAGTTACAAGTAATACTGAAAAATGTGTGTGTCCCTCCTATGGATTTGGAAAGTTGGTATTTTCCCACGTCATTGTAGTTGTGCTTTTAAAGTTGTAGCAACGTTTCGGCAGAATCTCATCGTCAGGCTTCTGTATTGTGTTCTCTGAGAAGTACTCCGAGAAGCACAAAGCCGAAGACACAAGCCTGAAGATGATGAATGAGACTTCATCGAAACGTCACCTAGATACTTCCAATTTTACGTGGGAGAAAACCTAAATAACCAAAGATCCACATACAAATACCCGCGAAAACCTCATCAGTGAGAATGAGTCTGGGGTTTGCTTTCTGTTGAGATACAGCAGATTGCCCTGCCAGCACTGGTGAGAGGTGGTTTTCTCCTTGGCAATTCTTTGATTAATGCATCTCCTTCAACAGCCAAGAAGTAGATAAGCAGGGATTAATACCAGAGAAACAATCAAGCAGAAAATATTACCCCAATCAAGGAAGTACCAAGGAGAAAAAACCCCAGCCATACTGGCAAGGCAATCTATATAAAAAAGGAGCATTTGATGATATTTAGTCGGGTAACAAATCATATGCAATCAAATAATCAAGCTCAGGGAATACCAGGAACTCCACAAATAGATAGTTGTATGTTGCGTTTTTATCTCATGAATGTTGTATTCTCAGCCCATGCAGAGGACCAAAGTTAATGTAGATGACTCCAACCTAATAGCCCCTTCCCCACTTAATAATACATGCAGATGAGTACATAAATCAACATGAGGGTTTTTTCTTTTAAATCTAAGATTCTTACCAGTTGACATGGTTCCTTCCAGAATCCAGGTTCTGCAGTAGTTGGCTAACTTTATAATGCCTACATTGTTTTATCTGTTTTAGGTTTCATGAGGCCTTTGAGAGTCAAAGTACAGTAACCGCTTCTCTTTTGGGTGAGATTGACCTGTGTTGTTTTCTGAAAATGTTTAGTATGGTGTTTTTCTTTGGAAATCTGCAGTATGTAGAACAATATTTCTCAACCTTGCCAAGATGGGCAGATTTCAGCTCCCAGAATTCCACATGATGGCTGACTGGGGAATTCTGGGAGTTGAAGTCCACCCATTTTAAAGTGGCCAAGGTTGAGAAACGCTAATGTGGAATGTCTGGTTTTACAAGTTCTGGATTCCAAAATGAAAGAAGGGTCATCTCTGCATAGTTCATACTATATGCTTTTGCACCACTGATCACTCCTAGTTGTTCCTGGTTCTGGGCTCAGAGTGGACAGAGAATACCCTGCAGGTTTGAGATGGATGTTGATGGTAAGAAACTCAAGACGGGACAAATCCTGTATCCAGTGGCCGAAAACTATTCCCAAAACGAAGTTTTCTACTCAAATATATTGATCTAAATATACCTTGGGTTCTTAATTCATTGCTACTGGAAAGCCAATGTCCATCTTATCTCTTATAGTTTATTGTTTTGTTTCCTATTCCTGTTGGGAGTAATCCTGTGCGCAAATCTCATTAATTTTGCATTAAATTAGCATATTGTAACTAATTTCTTATAAGCAGTCTCTTGTATTATACTTACCCTATAAGTCCATCTTTGTATGATGTCCTCTATAATATTATCTTTTATACTGTATTTTTTATATTCTGCAATAGGGATGGACAACTCTGTCAACTTTACGGCCTGTGGACTCCAACTCCTATGAATTTTGGGAGCTGAAGTCCATAGGTCTTAAAGTTGCCATAGTTGCCCACATCCTTGCTTGACAACCTACGACCTGCACTTTTCCTCTTAAACGGATCTACTCGGAGAGCCTTGTGGTTTTGGTTCGATTGTCATTCCCAAGAGCCCTGTTAGCGTTAGCAGTTTTCTTTTGTCTCGTTAATCCTGAAGTAGTGCCAATTGCTTGGGCTGCTACGTGGAGCTGTGGTACTTACCAATAGCATTAGGGTTATATACCCTAACGCACTTTAGTCTGGGCAGTTTACAATCTAGCAGCATTATTTGCATTTTGCCCCCAACAATATGGGTCATCCTTCCTTTTACCGACCTCGGAAAGATGGAAGGCTGGGTCAACCTTGAGTCCCAACAGGATCAAATTCCAGCCTGTGGGCAAGGTTAGCCTGCAGTCATGCATTCTAACCACTGCACCACCAGGATTGCTTGCCCCTTTGGGCATCTTGAAACTCTGTGAATGGCTCTGCTGTTGCTGGGGTTCTGCTAGTTCTTCTTCAGGCCTTTGATCACCCACCTTCTGGTCTATCAGACCTTGGCATCAAATCATGACTTCAGCTTTTGTCTCATAATCCCACTGCGCTTGAGTCTCTTTGGCTGGCAGCCCTACTCCTTTCCCTAACTGATAGCGGTTTGCAACTCCTTAAAACTCTTCTTTTTCCTAGTTCATCATGGCCGTGGGCTCTGAATTACGAAAGTTCAATCAGAAATCTTTTTTTTTTTTAAGTATATGATAGGAATCACACATTTTTGAATAGATTTTCATTTTGTCTGTTACATTGGGCTTAATCGTGGCAATGAGGATGTTATACCAGCTTCCAATTCCAGAAATCTATTAATAAAAGCTGCACATCTGCTGTTTTCTGTTATAATAATGTGTGATTTCATAATAAATTTTTTTCTACTTTTACACTCAACAATCATTGTTATTTTTAACTGCTGCTTTCGCTTCAGGTGTGGCGATCACCCAGCTTTTTAGTGCCTCTTTATACTTTTAACATTTTCTTTCTCTTCAATAACTTCTCATTGGTAACTGAGGTTATAAACGCTAACAGAAATGGGACCATTGAAAACTAAAGGAAATTTATCAGTATTTTTGGATTTTACAGTACAGAAAAGCCTTAAAAAAAACTTTGAGGAAAAAAAATCCCTGCTTCCAAATCAATTCAAGGATTCAACCTAAAGGCAACACATGCATTTGCAGGATATTTGAATCATGTTCTCAAAGGAGACACAACAGCTCTTGAGTAACTTCACATTATTATTTTATTCATCCATCCAGATAATATTGGAATCCAAAGTCACAACTTCAAAAGATAGATTCCATCTGGCATTCTAAATGTGTCAAAATCCTATCTGGCAGGAGAGATTTTAAGTAGGTGTGTTTAACTGTGTGTCTACTCAGCTACCACAAAGTGATGGCTCACTTTTTGTGTTCTCCTACTATCAGAGAAAGGTATTACTGCCTTGTCCTCATAGTAAATCTTATACAAAAAGCTGATACAGCAGACATTGCTTTTTTGCAATTCCCATGACTTTCACAGGGAGCTGAATTTCTTTGACATACAAAATGCCTGTTTTCTTTAAACTTTTGTAAAAAAAAAAAATGGCTTAAGCATTGAACACTTATATAAAGGAACATCTTCAAATTGTGGCCACATTTTTCCCCACTCTATCTACAGCTGCTACCTTAAGGAATTTCTTAACTTCTTCATTTTCAGTTGCTTCATATAGCATTTCAAAGTCCTGAAAACGAACACAAAAGACAGAAGTTAACTGAGTTAAGAAACCAGAAAGGCATTGGGAGGAAAGTTACATTTCAGCTGGACGTCACTTTTTTGAACTGGAGTCTGATTATCCCTGGATTCAAATGGCTGTTCCATTCCTAAAATTACTGGATTATGCCAATCACTCATGGACTACAGATTTCACATTAAACCATGGTTTGTTAACAAGGAGATTCTCAGAACATGCTAAACTGAACAAAACCATACGATAGGTTACCATGTTCTGAGAACTCTATCAACTTTTATTTGCTAATTTGAATTGTTGAAAGGAGAAAGCAGAAAAGAAAGCTGTATGGTGGGATAAGATGGTAAAAATATCCGATTTCCGCTACATACAAGCAAGAATATTTTCCAATCAAAAACCAACCAACCGACCTTCTCCAGGGACAACTTACCCTCCTGCAAATCTGATTGATAGGTCAGCCCTAAAAATGGGAAGATTGTTTGGTTCTTTTGTGCACTTTGGAGCACTAAATAACAGCTCACTGATGTAGTTCACACACTGTATTTTCCCTATCCTTCCTCCCCTCCATCCATTTTTCCACTTGGAAATAATAGCATAGTCAATATGTAACCTGTGCTAGGGATGATTGCGACGTTCAAAGAAGAAACAAGCTGGAGATGGTGCCAATGAGGGAAGAAAAAAGCAAGAACGGAAAGAAGTGAATAAATTCCACAATTGTTTTCTTTTTTTTGGGGGGGGGGGGGGGGGGGGGGGGGGGAGGAAAGGTTAAGGAGACATATTCACACACAAAATACATTTTGAATAAGTGTGCTTTTATTCACCTTCAGTTGGGGCTGTCCAACTTGTTTTTCCAGTCATTATAACCAGGGGTGGGATTAAAATTTTTTAACAATTGGTTCTGTGGCCGTGGCTTAGTTGGTGGGCATGGCTTGGTGGTCATGTGACTAGGTGGACATGGCTTGGTGGTCATGTTATTGGCTGGACGTGGCCAACTCAACATCACTCACATCGAGGCACACATCTCCTCGCCTGGCCTCTCGTGACTGTGGGGATGCTGCAACAGTTGTAAGTGTGAAAAACGGTCATAAGTCACTTTTTTCAGTGCCATTGTAACTTTGAATGGTCACCCCACACAAGCAAAGTACCAGCAAAGGAGGGGAAAAAAACTCCAGAGAGGTTCCTGAGACAGGAAGTCTAGTCCTGCCAAGAATGTAATAAGGGTTAACGGAGAGGCAGTTTCTGTAAACAATACCAGAATGTTTCCTTCCTGCCTTCCTTACAGGATTAGGCCAGTAATTTCTTCTAACAACCGGTTCTCCGAACTGCTCAGAATGTTAACAACCAGTTCTAGCGAATAGGTGCAAACTGGTAGAATCCCACCCCTGATTATAACTGAATCCATAATTTGGATGCCTCCCCCAGCCTGAGTTTTCTTACCCCGCAATATTCATCTCCGTTAAAGATCTGGGGTGGGACTGCATCAGCTTTGCCAACTTTGTCCCTCATCTCTTGCAGCAAACTGTCACTGAGAGAGACATCCACCAACTGGTACTTCAGGCGGTTTCCATCCAGAATACGAAGAACCTCAGACTGCCTCTGCTTCACCTAGATATGATACCGACAGTTTTGGTGAAGGGGGAAGGTAGAGATTTCGGGGTGACAAAGATCTGACAGCATCTCTTACACTTCAAATCCACGCGTTACCATGGGGCTGACCTAGTCTTCCGCTTAGAGGACAATTGTGGGTTTTAGTTAGAAGTGCTGGAAGCTAACTTTATGTTAAAAAGAGTTAGTTCAAAAGTGGGTGACTTTAGCTGGGGCTAAAGATGCAGCTTCCTCAGGGTTCGTGCCCACTTTTGAGTATAGCCCTTCAATATAGCTTCCCTCCCTCCACCCACCCAAATTCCCCATCCCTATTTTAGTAATTTTGCATTTCCTTCCTTTCTGCCCTCTGCCAAGGTGAAATCACTATTTATATCACAATGGATTATTTTGCAAAGTAAAAGTTTCATAATAAGATAGAGAACAAGGGTGCATCCATTAACAAAGTCACATATGATTTACAATCCCCTGTATATTTCCTTAAGTAAATTTGAACTTACAAACTTCTTGCAGATCATTATGCTACACGAAAAAGAATCCAGACAAATGATTAGTATTTTTGAAACTTGTGCAGATTTTTTTTTAAAAAAAGTCTGTCCATCCCTGTATACTACTTCTACCAACTGCAGATTTTGATGTTTTAATCTGGCCACAGCTTTCTTGTAGTACTATTTCTACTGATTTTTTTGAAACTAATTTATTTTGAGACATAGTTTATGTGTTTCTATTTTTAAGAGAGTGGCAGTTTTTGAACGTTAAAAAATATGCCTTAAACGGAATGCCTATTATTAGGAATTATTTCTGCTTCTAGCAGATGGAAGAGACTGGTGTAAAATTATAGAATAAGATATATATTTTATATTAAAAAGATGATAGCACAACTTGCACTTCTTTAAATCTGTAAACTGCCTAGAGTCCTTAAGAACGGAGGCAGCAGATGAAATGCATCAGATATATACTGTAGATGCCCAGGCACTCTTGTCAATCCAGGTACCAACAGAAAATAATATTTATAGCTCAGACTTGAACACTGTGGAGTTCTTGGTGATCTCTGAGTTTGTTTGTTTCTTTGCAGACATTTCAATACCCAACTAGGTAACAGCATCAGTGTTAGAAGGGAGTGGGGTTTGCTGTTATATAGTCTCTTCTAGCACTAATGTTGGCTGCCCCATTTCAGTGGGTTTGCACAGGATAAGTTTCCAATGAGTATTATTATGTTACTTCATTGGAAGAGTGTATTTGTAGCTCTGCGCTGAACTGTGGGGTCCTTGGTGCTTTCTGAGCTTGGTTGCTTTCTTGCAGACATTTCACTACCCAACTAGATAATATGATCAGTGCTAGGAAGGAGTGAGGATTGCTCTCTGTCAATCAAGGCTCGAGAATGAGGTCCAGGCATGGCAAACCACCATGGATGAAGTGGATCTGTCTCATCCCCATTCTCAGCGGCTCCAAAGAAGCCCAGGGAGAAGGACCTCTTCTCCAGGCATCCCTGCAGGCCCAAGTTTGTGTGTTTCACAGCCCTTAACTCCATCTCATTGCAAGCCTTTTATTGATCTTTTGAATTCAAAGGAGCCTGTCTGAGGGATCCATTTCCCTGACTCTCTCCCCTTACTCAGGATGCCCCCATCCCATTCAGAAGATGCCCTGGACCAGCCTTTTCCCAGCCTGGTGGCCTGAAGTGATGGAAGTTGGGGGTCTCTGGAAGGGGTGGGGGTGTCAAAGGGTTGTTTCAACACTCAATGCAAAGTGCTCAGACACACAAAGGAAGCTAAGGTGGCTGGGAGCGATGGGAGCTGTGATCCCAGAGTCTCTGGAATGCTACCGGGGCTTGTATTCCAGAGACACATAAAAGATGCTACGGTGGCTGGGAGTGATGGGAGCTGTGATCCAAGAGCTTCTGGAATGCTACCGGGGCTTGTATTCCAGAGACACATAAAAGATGCTAAGGTGGCTGGGAGTGATGGGAGCTGTGATCCCAGTCTCTGGAATGCTACCGGGGCTTGTATTCCAGAGACACATAAAAGATGCTACGGTGGCTGGGAGCGATGGGAGCTGTGATCCCAGAGTCTCTGGAATGCTACCGGGGCTTGTATTCCAGCAACACATAAAAGATACTAAGGTGGCTGGGAGTGATGGGAGCTGTGATCCAAGAGTCTCTGGAGTGCTACCGGGGTTTGTATTCCAGCAACACATAAAAGATACTAAGGTGGCTGGGAGTGATGGGAGCTGTGATCCCAGAGTCTCTGGAATGCTACCGGGGTTTGTATTCCAGAGACACATAAAAGATGCTAAGGTGGCTGGGAGTGATGGGAGCTGTGATCCAAGCCTTTGGAAGGATGCTGGAGCTTGTAGTTCCAAGATACAAAAGGGATACCGGGTTGGCAGGCAATGATGGGAGCTGTGATCCCAGAGTCTCTGGAATGCTACTGGGGCTTGTAGTTGTGAGACACCCCGCCCCAGACGGTGTTGGATTGGCTGGGAATAATGGGAGCTGTGATCCCACAAGCACCGGGCGCGGCTCGCAGTTCCAAGACAGGCGAAGGGCGCTGAGGACGACTGGAATTGTAGTCCCCACTACAAAGTCTCTGGCGCGGGAGGGGACCTGCAATCCCAACCACAAGGAAGGCGCTGGGGATGATGAGTCCTGTAGTCTCCGCACTCCCAGAAGGAGACGGGTTGCAGAAGGGCCCGGGGTGGCTCGCCCTCCCTCCCAAGCAGCTCGGCTTGTAAGGGGGCTTTCGCCTCTCGGGCGCGGTCGCCCACCCCAAGCTGCCCCTCACCTCCCTGGAGCCCGTCACGCTGGTGTAATACACCCGAAGGGCGGCCATGCTCGCCCGGGACCCGCCGTTGCTATGGGAACACAACCGCCAGCGAGGCTCGGGCGTTCAGAATGGGCAGTCGCGCTGCCATTCAAAGAGCAGCCC